GTGGAAGTCGAGGGCGTCCAGGTGTTCCGCTCCGTAGTTTCTTGTATCTAGGTGTCGGGCGTGGAAATCCAGGGTGTCCAGGTGTTCACGTAGTTGAGACTTGTGTCAAGTACTAGCAATTCATATATCCTATTGAACAACAAAAACTTGTGATATCCCCCAAAAAACACTTCCGTGCAAAAAACTACGCCAAGTACAGGATTGCTGTGAATTCCTCTAACAAAAAGTATTGAGATCATATTATTGAGGCCAAGTACATAAGTCACTACATGTTTTCCTATTATATGATCTAGCACTGGCCCATCATTTTAATTATATTTTCAATATTTCCCATAACGTTTTCGCTACTCTTATATGTTACTACTGCTTCCCGTATTCAATTATGATTTAATGGTGATTTAATAATTAATAAAACTTTAGGTGATTCCTTATCGAGTACTACTTGGCGGGTCCGTGCATTTCTTGATATAAATTTAGTACAAAACCAGTACCAATTTTCTATAGAAAGCATATTAACAATAACTCGTCAAAAAGAATCGGAAGAATCTTCATTAGCGGAAGCATTATTTCCCAATAACTGATCGAAGGTTAAATGTCGCAGCCGGAAATTATCATTCAATGAAGTTATGATCTACCTATTCTTAAAATTTTCCAAAATAAATTAATCAATTGGCCGACATCTAAACCTTGATTTACGCAATATTAGAATAGTAATAATGACAATATATATAATAATGATATATCCCGTATTAAATAATATTTGAAACATTAATAATAATAAAAAAAAATAATTATGATAATAGTACTAATAATGGTAGTGGTAATAGTAACAATAATAACGATAATAATGGTAATAATAATAGAAATAACAATGATAATAATGATACTGAACTTTTAAGAAAATAAGACCTATGTAATCACTCTTTCCACTGATGATGTTCTAATTATCCTCGAGGCCAGAGTCGACTTCGTCATAAGACGTCCAGTCTCCATCGAGGGGTTCACCTTCTTCAATTACGTTTGCTCTGGG